AAGTGTGGGAGGCGGGGCCTGGCTGGAGGAAGTGTTGGAAAGTGTGGGAGGCGGGGCCTGGCTGGAGGAAGTGGTGGGAAGTGTGGGAGGCGGGGCCTGGTTGGAGGAAGTGGTGGGAAGTGTGGGAGGCGGGGCCTGCCTGGTTGGAGGAAGTGATGGGAAGTGTGGGAGGTGGGGGCTGGTTGGAGGAAGTGGGGGTGTGCCCTGGAAAGGCACTTCCTGTCCCTGGCCTCTCTTGTCTCTATCTTTCTGTCTTCCTCTCTCTCCTTCTCTCCTGCCACCATGACGTGAGCTGCTTTGCTTCACCATATGCTCCCCACCATGATGCCCAATTTCACCCAGGCCCAGAAGCAATGGGTCCAAGTGACCAAGGACTAAAACTCCTTTTTTTTATTTTAAAGAGAATAAAAATTTTAAAAACATTAAAAATGTACCAAATTCCAAAACAAGAGGAAAGGAAATTAGCAATGGTTGTTATATTGCGTACTGTTACTTTCAAAGCAGTTGTTCAGAATGCCTGATACAGGCACGTAAAATTGATCAATTAAGCATTAACTGTTCCTTTCAATAAACTAATAGAAATTAGTACAATATTTTAGCTATCTTGTGTACATATGTATATATATTTTTCTCTTCCTTCCTTCTTTTCTCCTTTCCCTTATCCCAATTGTTTTTTCCTAAACTCCTAAAGCTGTAAGCCAAAGTAAACCCTTCCTCTTTTCAGTTGGTTTTCTCAGGTATTTTGTCACAGTGACAGAAATCTGTTTGATACAAGCCCCAACCCCTTGGGTTGTTTTATCCCTTTAGCCTCTCTCCTCTCCAAATTTGACTGGGATCTGTCAAGTTTGGGAGTCAAGGGTCTGGAGATCATTTTTCCCAAAAAGATGAGAAGGTGGTAGCTGCAGATACTCCTCCTCCTTTGTGGTCGGCTTGGTCTTTTAGATTTTCATGTAGAGCACCTGCAAGACGGACACGCTTGGTTTGTGGTCACTCCCATGGCACTGCTCTGATGTGTTATTCAGGTGAAGCTCCCTTCTCACTATGGATGATGCCAGGAAGGAAAGAGAAGAGGGAAATGAAAAGTCTTGTCCTTCCTTGATAAAAGTAGTGATAATTATTACTCAGATGGTGAATTATTAAGCAGTGACTCATGCTGAGTGACTGCTCAATGCCAGGTATACATTAGACACTGTCATGGTTTGATGTGGCTTTCTCAGAAGATGTGTTTGTGTCTTCATCCCTGGAATCTGTGAATGTGACCTCAGTTGGAACGAGGGTTTTTACAGATCCCAGTGAATTAGGATCCTGAGATAAGATCATCGTGGATAATCTAGGTGGGCCCCAAATCCAACGGCAAGTTTTTGTAAAAGATAAAGGGACCTGGAAGAAGAGGAGACCAGGCGAACGCAGGAGCCGAGAGTGAAGCTACGCTGGGGGCACTGCAAAGCTACCAATCACCTTGAGCTAGCAGCAGCGGGGCGAGGCCAGGAGCGACTCTCCCTGCCTGCCTAGGGAGAGAGCGCGGGCCTCCGCCTCAGGCTGCCTCCAGAACCGTGAGGGTAAGTTCCCGGTGTTTTAAGCCACCTCGTTTGTGTTTATTTGCTTTGGCAGCCCTAGAATCAAAAACTAATGCTTTACACGCATTATTTCTAATCCTCGCTGCAATTGGTAAAGCGAAGGTATTATTTTTCCATCTTACAGACAAAGAGCTTGCAAGTTAGTAATTTACTCAAGTTCCTACAGCCAGTAAGATGCAGAGCTAGGGTTTGAAGCTGGACTTGGCCGAGTCCCCCGTCCAAGCCTCTGCATCATGGTACAGTGCTGTTTGGATAAAAAAGTGCTCTTGTTCAAAAAGTGCTCTTCTGTGTTCCCGGCTGCTGGCAGGTTCCTGCTTGCCCTATTCAGAGCCACTCACTGTGTTACGTTTAGTTGATGGGCTATTTGCGTTGGGCACTAGATTAAGGCTGTAATGACAAAACTGATTTTCATGATTGCCTCCTTTTGTGCCCTGTGCAGGGCTTCAAGTTTCAAGGAGGGAAAGCCTTGCTTTTCTGAAATATTGTGGACTCCTAAGTAATAGTTTAAAATTTTAGTAACTGGTATCTCCGCATTTGTGGATTCAAAGACCCTTTCACTCACATTTTAGCAGGTTTGTGTGGGTACGCGTGCTGC